CCTCCCCAAAAACCTAAGAAATCTTTAGGTCCACCTTCATAAAAACAACAAAAAAATCTATTATTTATATATTAACTCACTTTACTCTAAAACATTTTATGAACAACTGCAGAGAAATCACTACCTAGATAGCTCCAACATAATAAATGGGTTGCAATTTAAAAGTCCATCAATAGGAAAATATTCTCAGTAAAAAACCATAACTTTTTGGTCTTTTTGATAACAGCTATTCCAACTGGGATAAGATGATATCACATTGTGGTTTTGATTTGCATTTTCCTGATTAGTTGTATTGAGCATTTTTCTTGACCATTTCCATATGTTCTTTTGAGAAATGTCTATTCAGGTCAGTTACCCATTTTTTAATAGGATCATTATTAATTTGCTACTGAGTTACATGAGTTCCTTACATATTATTAATCTAGAATAGTCAGCAAATGTTTCTGCCATTCTGTAGAGTATCTCTGTGAATGCTTATTTGCTGTGCAGAAGCTTTTTAGTTTAATATCTATTAAAAACTATTCTACTTTTTTAGTATGCCAACAGGAAATTACTTATTAGGTAAATTAAGGGATCCAAAATATTATATTTAAATTATGTCCAAATATTCTGATGCACTCTCTCTGCATATTTATACCTTTTGCCCAATTCAAGTATAAATTTCAGAAAGCTCTGGTCTTAAAATCAGTCTCATTTAAAATTATGTCACTGTATGTTAAGTGGGGACTCATACTACTACCGATACCCATTCCTGCAACTTTAAAGTAGTATGATCAGATTTCATGTCTGAAATAGACGTTATTTGATTTATAAAAACAACTATTGACAGTTTTCATAATTGTTAACACTGGGAAATAGTAGACTTCAAGATCTTTTCAAGCTACAGATGATTGTCTCCTAACTAAACATACAAAATAGCACAGTTGTCATACTGTTATTCTCTGGGAATTCAAATGCAGAAGAGAGCAGTATTATGATCTGGGTGCCCTAGCACCAAGTATTACTGTATCTACACTAGCTGTCTACATTTAAGTACAAGTAATATTAAACCTATTTATTTCACAAGTAGTTGGGAGGTTTTCTTTGTTTTTACATATCCTCCAGATATGCACTGCAGTAAAAATTAACACTATAATTTCATCACTATAAAGTGACAAAAAGCAAAGCCAACCTCCATCAGTGGAGGAGGTCCTACTTACCAACTCTATTAACCTTCATTGCTGTTTTTTTGGTCCTGGGCGTTGAAACCAGGACCTTGCGCATGCATGTGCTCTACCACTGAGATACACCCCCAGCCCTTAACCTCATTTTTACTTTCTAATATTTCACTGTAACAAAAGTTTAGGTTGAGGTCTTCATAATGACGAGATCGTCACAAAAACTGATGCTTTGTAAAAGATGGCCAGGGATGATTATAGAAATCCATAGCCCTAATTAGTCTAAGAATTATGTGTAAACTATCTGCAGAATACACGACTTTAAAATTTGTATCTGTAAATGAAAGCACAATTTGAACATATGTTAAAATATAGTCTTTGCAAAAGGGCTCAATGGTTAAGAGTTTATTTTCCAAATGAACCCATGGTAGCCACAATAACACCACACTCTAAACCTTAGAATTTGATTTAAAAGCGTAATAAACTGTAGCGACAAACTAGGTCTATAAATCTAGGTTTGAGTGCCACCCTAGACAGGATATGGACTGAGTTCATATCCTGGGTCTACTCTTCACTGTGTGACCCTGGACAAGTATTTAATCTATATGAACCTGAATTTTAGCATCCAAAATGGTGCCATACAATATTATAAACATTAGCCACATTTGACTATTTAAGTTTAAAAATTCAGTTCTTCAGTTGAACTGGTTACATTCCAGGACTCAAAAGCCACATGTGGCTAGAGGGCATCGCACTGGACAATACAGACATGGTGATAAAAATAAACAGGATATGATTGAGAATAACAAGCAGTAGCAAGCATACTTTAGATTGGAATGGTCAGAAAGGGCTGGGGTGAGGCGCTGACATTTAAGCTGACACTCAAATAAGATGCAACCAGCATGCAAAGATCTGCAAGGGGCATCCAAGACACAGTCAACAGCAAGGACAAAGGCCTCAGGCACAAATGAGCTTGGCTAGTTAATCAACAGTATCTCAAGTGTAAGAAGTAAGAGGAAAAAGGTATGAAGCACAAGAAGTGGCAGGAGGCTCAGTGTCTTATGAGCCATGTAGGAACACGTACTTTATTTTACTTTTCTTCTTCTTTTTTTTTTTTTTAGGGAAGCACAAAGCCTGGTAAAGGAGTTTGAATTTTATATTAAGTGCAATCAAAAGCCATAGATGGGGTTGTAAAGAGAGGAACATTGGGGTTTAAGTTATGTCTTAGAAGCTTACTCTAACTGTGGCTGAAAACTAATTATAAGCCAAGAGCAGAAGGAGGAAGATTTGTTAGAAAGCTGGTGCCACAGCCTACACTGAGAACATGGGGGTCTGGACCAGTAGAGTGACATCAGAAAGACAGGATGATGTGTCCCTTTTCTCTACATTTCCTTTCCATAGCCTTGCATCTTTTATCCTTCACAACCAAGCTCCTTGAAATAGTCTATTTTAGTTTCTAACTCCTCAGCATCCTGTAAATATGCTTTCTGCCCCAGCTATTCCACTGAAAATATTCTAAGGTCTCAGTCACCTTCATCTTTCCAAAACCAGTGAGTACTTTTCTAATCCTGACTTCTACATTTGCAAAACTGCCAACTACTTCTCACCTGCATCAAATTCTCTACTCCTTCAGCTCCAGGGGCATTACTATCATCTGGTTTCTCTCTTTCAGTGCATGCGGGTGTAGGCATGTGTTCTTTAGAGCTGGTGATCAAATCCAGGGCTCTGTGAAAGCTAGGCAAGCAACTCTACCACTGATGTACACTTCCAGATAGGAAGGGTAGGGTCTTGGTTTTTGGCTCAGGCTGGCCTCAAATTCAAAATCCTCCTGCCTCAGCCTCAAGTGCTAGGATTACAGAGTGAGCCACCATGTCCAGTGTTTTTTCTCGCTTTTCAATTTTCTCAATAACTACTAATTGACTCCTAAATTTCAGTGTTCCTCTAAGATTACATCTTTGGTACTCAGTTCATTTCACAATATACATAATCTTTGAGAATGAATTGACATTCTACTGGTGACTCCTAAATTAATATTCCTGGCTCAGAACTGCCTATCAAGTTTTAGATTTCGTATTTACTGTTCAACTGGCTTCATCGCTTGGGACACACAACAGGCATTTCAAATATGAAAAGTTTTATTCATTTATTCATATGTGCCTACATCGTTTGGGCCATTTCTCCCCCCTGAAATGTATTAAAAAAAGTGAAAGGTTAAAATGCCTTCATTCTCATCATATACCCTTGCCCAAGTCAAAGACATACTAAACTCCCTCTCACTCTCAGCGATAGTCCCTATCACCAGACTTTGCACTAGGTCCTTCAGATCCCTTAATATTTATTTAGCCTTTCCTCTCAAATAATGCTAAGGTTTAGTTCAAGTTCACATGACTCCCTAGTAATTTTCCTGCTCCCTATTTCCCTACACATTGCTGCCAGGGCACGTTACATATATTCAATAAATTCTGTTCATTACATTCAGTACAAATCTGATGTGTCACTTCTTTGCTTGAAGTCTTCCAAAGGCACCCAGTAAGTTTCACAAGATTTCTTCATGATCTTGCTCCTTTCTAGATTCCAGCCCCCTTCTTCCTACTCTTCCTTTCACATCCTCCTCTCCACCAGCTTTTCTTACCATTTCAGGCCTTATTCCTCCGCACATACTATTACTTTACCTTATTCCTTTACCTACTACTTAAAAGTAGACTTCAGTATTACTTCCCGTCTCAATCACTCTGAATTGTAGCTACTGACATCTGTCTCTACCTGTAAACCCTAAGCTCCAAGAGGACAGCAACTACCAACCTATACTGGCTTGCTACATAAATGACTGGCACAGAGTAAATACTCAGTAATGGATAGTTTTGATTTGACAGGCCCAGGCTGGCCTAGAATTCATGACCCTCCTGCCTGCGCCTCCGGAGTGTCCAGGATAGCTTCTAAATTTTGAGAAGGGAAAGGTTTTTTTTTAAAGTGGGCCTTCTATCACCACTTCATTACAGCACAATGTGACAATACGTGCTTCATATGGGAAATGCAAAATAAAGACAAAACTTCACCTGTCAAAAGTAAAACAGTAGCGAATTCCGAGAACTTGGTAGTATCTAATGACCTGGGCTTGGGATTTTATATTGCATGAGGAAGGGCTTATTAACACTGTTTGATGGTAATGACAGGTGGAAGGCATCTCACCTCAATTAAAGCATATTAACTTTTTTTTTTTTTGGCTACGTCATTGTAATGTTAGTCCCTAAAGTAGATTCTCCTCCTAATAGGTTATTTTTATTCGGGAGTTTACCTCCCACCTTAGAAGTCCCTCACTCGCCAAGCAGCCACTTAATCTCTAAAACTGAGCGAGAAGAAAAGGGTTGGAAAAAGGGCGAGTGTGGGGGATGATAAACACTTCTGGACGGGAATGTGGCGAAAGCCACTGATCCAGGGATGGAGAAGAGTGGGCGCTGGGGCAGCAACAGGGAGGAGGCCTGTCATCTGGCAACGAATAGGGACCAGGGGTAGGGGACACGGGCCAGTGAACTGGAGGGAGGAGAAAGCTAGGAAGGGGAAGGAGAGGGTGGGGAAGAAGGGGAAGGAGAGGGTGGGGAAGAGGGGGAAGGCGAGGCGACAGGAAGCCAAACACAGGTTTTGGCCAGCAGGCAGAGGCTGAGGAGAAAAGCCAGGGAGAGATGAGGACGACGCGACCAGCAAGGGAGCCGTCCTGGCGCCCAAGAGGGAGGCGCGGGGAACCGGCGGCCCAGCGGGCCGGGGCGGGGAGCGGCACCGGAACCGTCGAGCTGAGGCCGCGGGTTGGCTGCCGGGGAAGGGAACCGCGACACAAGGGGCACTTACTGGCGTCCCTCCGCACGGCGCCGCCGGGGTTCTCCTCCCGCAGGTGAGGAAAGAGGAAGTCCCGGGCGGCTTGGAGGTCCTGGAAGTAGCAGAACTGGACAATGGAGCAGGCCATGGCTGCGGGGAACCCCACTTGGGAACTCACTTTACCTCACTACACCCTGCCCCCCTCTGCCCCCCGGCCGCCACGGTCAAACCCCAAAAGCTTCAGCCACACAGGGTGCGGAGAAACCAAACCGGAAGCTGTCAGCAAGGTAAGCGCAGACGCCCCGGAGCAGTGCGCGTGCGCAGGATGGCCCAGGAGGTGGGACCCGCGTCACGTGACCTGCGGAGCTACAGCCCCGGGAATCCGATGTGGAAGTGGACGTGGCTGTTTAGTGCGAAATTTCAGCTCCAGTTCTGCTACAGAGAGGGAACCCTTTCATTCATTCTGGCTTTTAGCCAAATATGATCTAACTGGACTTTGCGCCGGCCTTTGAATCATTCAGCCAATCTTATGGGTGGCCTACTGTTGATATTTCACAGAGAATAATGTGGTTTAAGTTAGTGACAGGTGCCTGAATAAAATACAGATGTCATGCATGTATCATGTTTGCAAAGATTAGCTTCTGTTCTGAAAATCAGCTTCATCAAGGCTGGCTTTAAATGCTTTTCCTATAAATTCTTATAGTACTGTGCAAGCCTAACATAGTATGGGGTTGCACTGTATTATTCGCTGTATGTTTTCATCATCCATTTACTGTTTCATTCATTCGTTCGTTCATCCTTGCAACAAATATTTGTTAGTTTTTCCTATGCCAACCGTACTAGGCGCTGAGTAGCTGAACCAAAAGGAACATGTTCCCATGAAACTAAAATAGTGACTGACACAGTAAGCAACTGATTACTTAACTATGTAACTAAAATTGTAACAATGCTAGGAGAGAAAGAAGTATAAAACACCATGACAATACAACAGGAGAACCTGACTTAGTTTTTGTTTGTTTTCAGGTTTGGTTTAGCATTTGGAGCAAGTCTACCATAATCAAGAACAGACTTATTTTAAGCTCTTGAAGGCCTGCCTGGGAATCTCACTCAACTCCATTTATATACCTGCTATTTGATATAGGACCTGCCATGTAGTAAGTGATTAATAAATATTTGCTTTAGGAATAAATGGAATGAAAAGTGTACGTAAATAGAATAATCTGATTCTTTTAAAGTATTTTTCCATACATTGTCCAATTACATAGTCACAAATGCCATCTTGAAAGAGGGTGTCTTTTGTTTTTTCAAGACAAGGTCTTACTGTGTAGCCCAGGGTGGCCTGGAAGTGGCAGTCCTTCTGCCTCAGTGTCCCAAGTGTAAGAATTACACACAAGCACCACTATACCTGTATTTCATTCCAGTTTTTAAATGAAAAAAACTGATTTAAATCTCACTAAAGAACCTCTTGAAGTCCATTGAAGTTAATTTTCTAAAGAGTAGAGAACCAATAAAACTTTACTACAATAAAACTCACACACTTCCCAACCTAAATAGATCATCCACTTTTTACGATAGAGAAAATGATACAAGAATAAATAGAAAGCAAATAGATGGGATTAGAGATGGGGTTAGAGCATTCAATCCTTTCAGGTCTGTGTACACATGTAGTCCTAATAATATAACAGCTGTAATTGAGTGCCCAAGTTCTTACTCCCTTACCTGCTTCTAGAGTAGAATGGTTTTTCATGAAATAGCATAGATAATTTCTACATGATCAGATTATCAGGGAACTCTTCTGCTGTAAATCAGGGTGGGATTAGATGTAATACAAGGTTGTTTCAAGTGTCAGGGACCTGTAAAGGCAGTTGCCAATGTTCCCTTCTTTCATCCAAAAAAAAAAAATGCAGTGCTTCCTCAGACCATCACTTAGTAGAATAATCCAATTCTAAGATCACTCCCTAAAATGTAGCACCAACACCAAGACTAACATTAAATTTAGATTCTAGCTTTCCTAGGTAAATAAAGAACACATGGCTAGGTGAATAAAGATCCTAGCTACTTGGGAAGATGAGATCATGAGAGTTGCAGTTCAAAGCCAGTCCAGGCAAATAGTTTGAAAGACCCCATCTCTAAAAATAGCCAGAGCAAAATGGACTGGAGATGTGGCTCAAGCAGTAGAGTGCCTGCTTTGCAAGCATAAAGCTCTGAGTTGAAACCCCTGTCCCACCAAAAACAAACAAACAAAAAACACATGACACTTTATGGAAGAATACAATGTCATTCCTTGAAAAGTATTCAAGTGCTTGTTCAGGTAAATGGATTTTGTGAAAGTAACTGCCCTTTTCTGGCTCAGCTGGCCTTTGTTCTACCCTGAGGCATTTGTATCTCTTCTTTGTAGAGGTCATTGAATTTCATTACCCTGTTGGCTTAGTTTCAATTCAATAGTGAAGTCCCTGACTTCCTTCCAAGTGGTGTTGAAAAGGTTCATTCATGAATGTTTTAAAGGACTTTAGATACCCTTCACAGAAATTACAACACATTCATGAACTGAACTCTTCTCCCAGGAAGTTGTAAATCTGGAGGGCGATGCCTTGGAGATCTGCTGCCATGGTTTCTGTGGAGTGTGGGAGGAGAGTGCCAGACAGTGAATATCACTAACCACACAGTCGCAAGAAAGCACATTGTGGAAAATGTGCAGACCTTACATATCCCAACATAGACAGTGTCTCTCTTAGGTATGGGTTTGGAAGCTGGGGAAAGTGTTCTGACCTCTGGAATCTATTACTGTGACTTAGAGCACTCAGAGCTGATAAGAGAGAGATGCCTCTAAGGATGATTAGCTTCAGGCTCTTGGCAATACTTAGCAGCAGCCTGAGGTCAAAGGATTAGAAGCCAAGTATGAGAGAATGAGCAATGGTCTTTGAGTCAAGAGATATTGGGACTGTCTCAATCCTGTCACCAACCAGTTTCATGACCTTGGGCAATGTGTGTATCTTTCTGGGCCTTTGTTTCTTGATCTGTAGGATGAAGAGGCTGAGATGTAAGGTCAGTCCTAGGGATATATAGATTTTGGTAAGAGACTGGGAAGAGGGAAGGTATGAGAATTGGAGTTGCTCAAAAGGCACCCCAGTCAGTAAGAGGCCTGAGTGGTCAGGATGGATAACACTGAGCATCTCTAAGGTGAAAGAAAAGAGAGCAGAGAAAGGGGATGGAAAGCTAATGAAGCCTTACCTCATAGCTTTGCCAAAAATCTTCCTTGAATTGAGGACCATGTGAGCAGAAGCAAGGACTTTCTACAACTAATTTTGATTTAACAAACATCTATGAAGGAGTTGTTATACTACAATTTCTGTAGTGAGCACAGTAAGGTGATAAGAACAAGCTTGGCACAGACCCACTACCTGGAAACAGATGAGCACAAATAACTAACAAAAAACAGTGTGATGAGCACCTTGGGTGACTTTGGATAAAGGGCAGTGGAGAAGTAAAGAAGAGAATAATTTTGATGACTAGGTTTATTTCATGGGAAAAGAGTGGTGGGAAAGAGATTCAGAAGGTGATAAACGGATTGATTTCAGATTATAGACAACCTTAAAATCCAAATACTATCATCTGCTTTATTTTGTGTGCTGGAAGTAGCCACTGGGAAACTTTTGGGCAGTATGTGGGATGCCTGATTACAAAGAAACCCTTCAAGACATCATAGGAATATTCTAAATGAGAAATAATGATAGTTGAAGACAGTACAACTCTGGAAGCTAAGTCAAGGGAATTTTGGTACACATTAGACATAGGTGGTAGGATGGAAAAATAAGACCCAAGATGATGCTCCAGTGCTCAGACTAAAGAATGGAAGAAGTGACAGTGTCATGTCAGCAACCAAGACAAGGATGCAAAAAGAGGAATTGAGTTTGGGGTCAACAAGAATGGGATGAATTTGTTACATTTGAAGTGCCTATGGAAGAGCTAGGTTTTAAAAAGTTGTTTTCTAAACAAAAGTTAGAAGGGTGGGATTAAAGACACCAGAGCTAGAAGTTACCTATGGAAGTCATCTACATGGAAGTTATATTGAAGGGAGGGAATGAAATGTCAGCAGAGTCTATGTGAAGTGAAAACAAGGTTAGGGGTTGGGGAAGCTGGGGGACTGTCTATTTTTAGGGGTGTATGGTAGAAGCTCTAGGAGATGGAAAAGAAAGCATCAAAGAAGGAAATCATATACAGTAGGACCATGCCACAGAACCAAAGGAGGGAGACAAAATGTGTGCAAACAGACAGATCTATTGTGCTAGATTCAATGAGGAATTTAACGGGAATGAAGGCTGAGAAGAGATGATTGCATTTGGCAGTTATGGAGTCACAAGTGATGTCCAGCTTACAGAACTGCCAAACTGTTTCCTTGGCACAAAATATATAGCCTTTCTTCAGAAATAGGTTATTTTTCTAATACTCACAGAGGCATTGGCAATTTCTTTTCCTTTATGACTAAAGGAAGAACTTTTTAAAAGACAAAGAAGAGTTTTCTTGTGGCAGGCATTGGCCAATTATGAAAGGAAAATTTCACTTCATCAAACATTGTGTTTTGTTACTTTTTGAATGCAAGAAAATATATTTTCCGCATTTTCCAATATTTATTTTAGATCAAAATCTACAATGACATAAGAAAAAGAAGATATTAGCATAGTCAGCAAACAAATATCAGTACTATAGTACTATAGTACTGTAGTGCTCCATCTTCTTTACTCTAAGATTTTCAGGACGTGTTAGGTTAGTAAGCCATCACATTTTAAATGAGAATTGATAGTTATAGAAGCAATTACCACTAACCATTACCAATCCCCTGTTCCCTTGTTTTTTGTTTTTACCAAGAGAAACCTTATATTACTGGGGCAGCTATGTTCCCAGATTTGAAAACAAACCACATTTCCCAAATTCTCTGAGTGTATCCATGTGACTAAGTTCTGGCCAATGAAATAGAGCACAAATAGTTAGAATATTGGAGAGGGATTTCCAGGAGCACAAATAGAATATTGGAAAGAGGAACAGATAGCTAACAAATAGCTAACATAAACTCCTGTACTTTCTTTCCCCTTTCCTTTTTCCTACCTAGAATTTGAAATAGCTATGTCTCCAGCATCCTTTTTAGACAATGAAATAATTTGAACTAGTGTGTAGTATATTAAATACAGAAGACTGAAGTTCCTTTGCTTGGTAGAGGTGCCATTGCCAAGCTTGGACTGTCATATATGTACTTCTTTTATATAACAAAATGAATCCAGATGCTTCAGCCACTGCTTTTGGGGATTTTCTGTTAATGTAGCTGAACCTGATCTTGACACAATACAACTTGAGTAAGAAGAAGAACTTGTCCATGAAGGAAATGTTGTCTATTCCATATACTTAGCTTAAAGAAAAGAATTTTTATTTATACTGGTATTCTTTTTCTCTAGCATAATTCAAAAATAGGTTAAATGAATTACCTGGGATTTAAAATTGCCTAAATAACTTTTCTTTCATTGAGACATAAAAATAAACCCCAGATAACCAAGTACTTCTTATTTTCTTATTTTGGGCACAACAAAGTCGAGCCTTAAAAGATTTTGTGAAATAAAAGAATGTCCACAATGTTTGGTAGCTGAAAGATAAGTTCCAACTAACAGTGTTTATAATGAAAACCATGGACAGGAGAAGAAGAAACTGCTGGACCTCAAGTCTGAAAACCAGTGCCTTGTAATTTATGAGCTAGGATAGCTAAGGCAAGCCAACATCCTTCTTGACTTCATTGTAGTGTTACCACTTTGGGCTACTCAATCTTTAATGCTTTCCCTAACCTTTGCTACAATGAAGCAGCAACCTCCCAGCTCCTTCTTTTCCCCATTGTCTTCATTTCTGTATATTTTACTACCTTCTTGTCATCTTTCGTCCTTCCACCAGTCCCTTCTTCAAAGTCCCTGGAATTATCCAGACTCCTTTCATTCTGTTAATGATATTACTCTTTTCTTAGTGAATGACCTATTCACAGAAACACTAATGTGTCATTTTCTCTCCACCGTGTTCACCAGACAGCCACCGAGTTCTGCTGATTAACTTCTAAAATGGATTGAGCCCCTCCTGACCATCCTCTCTGCCACCTCCCTGCCTGGGCTGTTTTTTTGTTTGTTTGTTTTTTAATTTTTTATTTTATTCATATGTGCATACACTGTTTGGGTCATTTCTCTCCCCTTCCCTCCCTCCCCCCTTACCCCTTGCTACCAGGCAGAAACTATTCTGCCCTTATCTCTAATTTTGTTGAAGAGAGAGTATAATCAATAATAGGAAGGACCAAGGGTTTTTGCTAGTTGAGATAAGGATAGCTATACAGGGAGTTGACATGCATTGATTTCCTGTACATGTGTGTTACCTTCTAAGTTAATTCTTCTTGAACTAACCTTTTCTCTAGTTCCTGGTCCCTTTCTCCTATTAGCCTCAGTTGCTTTAAAGTATCTGCTTTAGTTTCTCTGCGTTGAGGGCAACAAATGCTAGCTAGTTTTTTGGGTGTCTTACCTATCCTCATACCTTCCTTGTGTGTTCTTGCTTTATCATGTGATCAAAGTCCAATTCCCTTGTTGTGTTTGCCCTTGATCTAATGTCCTCATATGAGGGAGAACATTCGATTTTTGGTCTTTTGGGCCAGGCTAACCTCACTCAGAATGATGTTCTCCAATTCCACCCATTTACCTGCGAATGATAACATTTCATTCTTCTTCATGGCTGCATAAAATTCCATTGTGTATAAATACCACATTTTCTTGATCCATTCATCAGTAGTGGGGCATCTTGGCTGTTTCCATAACATGGCTATTATGAATAGTGCTGCAATAAACATGGGTGTGCAGGTGCCTCTGGAGTAACCTGTGTCACATTCTTTTGGGTACACCCAAGAGTGGTATTGCTGGATCAAATGGTAGATCAATGTTTAGATTTTTTAAGTGGCCTCCAAATTTTTTCCAGAGTGGTTGTACTAGTTTACATTCCCACCAACAGTGTAAGAGGGTTCCTTTTTCCCCCCATGTCCTCGCCAACACCTGTTGTTAGTGGTGTTGCTAATGATGGCTATTCTAACAGGGGTGAGGTAGAGTCTTAGTGTGGTTTTAATTTGCATTTCCTTTATTGCAAGGGATGGTGAGCATTTTTTCATGTGTTTTTTGGACATTTGAATTTCTTCTTTTGAGAAAGTTCTGTTTAGTTCACTTGCTGAGCTGTTTTGATAGCTCCCTGCTCCCTCCAGCTTCTAAGTCTGATGTCTTCCCACTTCAAGCATCCTACACATTGCCTCTAGATTTGTCTTCAGAGGCATATGCCTAATCATTTTACTCAGTAAATCTTCCCAAGACCCTTTCATTTATTCTCTGATTCACTCAAGAATGATTTCTGCATGCCTATTGGGAGCCCTGACTGGTTGGAGTCCCTGTGAATTTAAATACAAGAAGACCTGCTACTGATGGAGGTGGGAGACAACCAACACAGAGACAGGTAAAAATATCACAAAGGCACAGATCAGGGTCAAAAAACATAGCCTTGGGATTCAAAAAAAAAAAAGGCTTTTTGTAGATCACATGTGAATGTTGAAGACTGATTTTAGCTGGCTAATGAGGACAGAAGGGAATGGGGACAAAATATCCCTGGCAGAGGAAGCATCATAACAAAAAGCTTGGGTGTAGCAATGATTCATGTGTACAAACTCAAGCAGCTATCTCTAGATGTGAAGTGTGACACTATAAGTGGGGATGAGCCCGTAGAGATGACCTGTGTGATTTTAAACTTCCTCAAATTTCATTTCCTTCAAAAATTAGGAGTAATTAATATTTTTTAGTGTGAGAAATATCTCCTTTGGTTCCTTTTTTTCATTAATGCCACTTCTCACATTTCCTTGCACTCTGTGATGGCAGGAGGAGACCAGTTTTTGTAGGCTGGGAGGGTTCTTGTATTCCTCTGCTCCAGCTGCCAGTGATGTGCATGGTAATTTTCACATAAGGCAAAATTTGTGTTGAATTTTGATTTCTGTTCCTTCTTGCTAAAACTTTCCCAGCCAAGTAGATTCCATCATGTGTTTTGCTGAGTGCCAAGACCTAATTTCCTAAGACCTAATTTCTCCTTACATTGACTGACATCAGGTGATCAAATGTTTTCACGCTTTTTTTTATCCTTTTTCTTTTGGCAGTACTGAGGTTTGAAGTCAGTGCCTCCCACTTACTAAGCAGTAGCTGTACCACTTGAGCCATGCCCCTCAGCCCTTTTTGCTTTAGGTTATTTTCCAGATAGGGTCTCACTTTTTGCCAGGTGCTGGTCTCAGACATGATCCAGCTACCTAGGGCCTCCTGTATAGCTGGGATGACAGTCATGCATCTCCACACCTGGCTTTTTGGTTGAGATAAGGTCTTGCTAAACTTTTTGCCCAGGCTGGCCTTGAGCTGCAGTCTTCCTGATCTCTCCCTCCTGAACTGCTGGAATTACAGGCATAAGTCACCACACCTGACTGTGCATTCACTCTTCTTGATGCAGGTTCCTTGCAATACCTGTAGTCAGTGACAGCTTTCCTCCTAACAGCCTCTGATGTGACTTTATGACACTTACATTTTACAAATACAATCTATTCTACTGTCCTAATTAGCTGAATCTCTTCTTTGTGGTTATGCTCTATTCTTTCCTATCTCTCTTGCACCAAAAGGCATCTGAAAGATTTGAACCATCCAGAGACATTCTGGAGCTTGTTCATTTCTGAGCATCTGCTCTGTGCTTCTTCTTTACTAGGAAAACGTGGAAGTCCTTCAAAACCCAACACAAATATCACTTTCTTTTTGAAAGGTCTGACTTCCCAGGCAAATTTAGTCATTGGACTTCTGTAGGTTTTTTTTTTTAGACAGGGTCTCACTATATAGCACAGGCTGGCCTTGCTGAGTACTAGGATTACAGGTGTGCACTACTACACCCAGCTTCACCATAGCCTTTCAGTCTGTGTCTATTCTGAAATTTAGCACCTTGTCTTATGGTTTATATGCATTTCTGTTGCCCCCAGTAGGTGGTGATGTCCTCAAGGGCAGAGATTATGACCTCTTTACCTTTGTGAAATTCATGTATTCAACACATTAAAAAATACCTACTGGGTACCAGGAGCTAACTATCCACAAAACACAAAAGAAACACATATGTGTGCTAATAGATAATAGATTCCAATAGAAGACACAGATAAATAATTAGGCAATTATAACTCCCTTTGAAAGTACAATGATGGGAACAGCTCAAGGGAGCACATTTTAAGAGGGACATTGCGCTGTGAGGATCACAGAGGCTCCCTGGAAGAAGGATCATCTAAGCCAAAGCCAAAGGGTTTGGGTTAACCAGATATAAACAGGCTGGAGGATAGAACGGGAGCAGGGAGGCTGAGAATCCTTAGTCACAGAGGAAATCCCTCATAGTCCCAGACATGAGAGGACACAACGTATTTAGAGAATTAAATATCCTTTAGCCTGTCTGGAGTTAAAAGGAGAGTGTTAAGATAATACTGGAAGCAGTTGTGGTTTAAACTAGTACAACACTCTGGAAAAAAATTTGGAGGCTACTTAAAAGCTAACATTGATCTACCATTTGATCTTAGCAATACACTCTTGGAGATATACCAAAGACTTGACACAGGTTACTCCAGAGGCACCTGCACACCCATGTTTATTGCAGCACTATTCACAATAGCCAAGTTTATGGAAACAGCCAAGATGCCCCACTACTGACGAATGGGTCAAGAAAATTGTGGTATTTATACACAATGGATTTATGCAGCCATGAAGAAGAACGAAATGTTATATTCGCTGGTAACCAGACTGTGACACAGGTTACTGCCAGAGGCTGCACAACCATGTTTATTGCAGCACTATTCACAGAGCCAAGTTATGGAACAGCCAAGATGCCCCACTACTGACGAATGGGTCAAGAAAATGTGGATTTATACACAATGGAATTTTATGCAGCCATGAAGAGAACGAAATGTTATCATTCGCTGGTAAATGGATGGAATTGGAGAACATCATTCTGAGTGAGGTTAGCCTGGCCCAAAAGACCAAAAATCATATATTCTCCCTCATATGTGGACATTAGATCAAGGACAAACACAACAATGGGATTGGACTTTGAGCACATGATAAAAACGAGTGCACACAAGGGAGATATGAGGATAGGTAAGACACCTAAAAAATTAGCTAGCATTGTTGCCCTCAAACAGAGAAACTAAAGCAGATACCTTAAAAGCAACTGAGACCAATAGGAAAAGGGGACCAGGAACTAGAGAAAAGGTTAGATCAAAAATAATTAACCTAGAAGGTAACACACATGCACAGGAAATTAATGTGAGTCAACTCCCTGTATAGCTATCCTTATCTCAACTAGCAAAAACCCTTGTTCCTTCCTATTACTGCTTATACTCTCTCTTCAACAAAATTAGAGATAAGGGCAAATAGTTTCTGCTGGGTATCGAGGGAGGTGGGAGGAGGAGAGGGAGGGGCGGGTGGGTGGTAAGGGAGGGGGTGAGGGCGGGGGGAGAAATGAGCCAAGCATTGTATGCACATATGAATAATAAAAAAATAAAAATTAAAAAAAAAACACAAAACAAATGCCCAACAAGTATGTGGAAAAAAGCTCACTGCATCATCAGGGAAATGCAAATTAAAACCACAATGAATATCATTCCACTCCAAGTAGAGTGGCTAATGTCAAAAAATACAAAAGATAAAAGTG